CTGTTTAGGGTCCTGTATGCGCTTTCCACGTTCCCTTCCTGTACCATCACAGTCCTTGCGATGAACTTCAGATGTCTTGCCATGACCTTGGATTTAAGTCTTCACTCCAAAGCCTAAAGGATGATAGAGAAAGGGCGAGAAAAGTAGAAAGAGAAACGCAACATAATACCGCGCGGCTTACTTAGGATCTGTAAATGCAACGTGTTCAGGGACGTGCGAGATGGAGCACACGGAAGTCAACCTAGAAAGTAGACGCGAATAGTTATCTGACATTCTCATTGCCAATCTAAATCCCTGCCTAGGGAAGAAAAGAGATGGTAGCGGGGCGTTACCACAAAGACGCATCGCCAGGCAAGGGAAGGACAGGAGCGACAAGGTGACGCCACTGGGTCCCGACAACCGCACACAGCTCCAAAAGGGCTTGGGTTAGGAGCTGGGAAAGGACTCTTTGTTGGTCATTGGAAAAAGGAGCAAAAGCCCACCTTCTTTTCCCTAAACGCCGCACAACTCCTCACCTGGCGCGCTCAGTACCTAGCCGACCCCAAGGCTTCTCGCTACCGGAAGCGGAAACTACGGCATCTAGCGCCGCGCAAAGAAACAGGCTGACGGAGAAAACGTGCGTGGAAACCATGGCAACGGCCTCTGTGGCCTCGCTTGACTGCCTCTTGTCCCGGGGCTGGATTCTACACCTCACAAAGCAAAATACCCATTAACTTAAATTCCCCCGAAACCGATTTCTCGCCCTCTCATGGAGTCAAAGTTCTTGGGCCTCTGAAGGTCAGCCCAATTTCATACTCCTTAATCCTCTGAAACCATTGATAAATATTTGAGCTATTTCTCTCGCTAGATAGAAAATGAAAGCAGTAGGCGCTTCCTGAGGATGCTTCTTGTTTTCTCTTTGGAAAGGACAGACTCTAGATCTGCTCTCCGGACGAAAAACAGATTCATACCCGTCATCTGCCCAAGTGCTAAGGAAAAGAAACAAAATGAACATACTGTGAGTTTCCTGTATCATCTTCCCACTCATTTAACTACATAAAGTTAAATCACTAAATAGAGATACAGGAAACACCTGCAGGGTTTAGAATAAAAAATTATGTCAGCTTCTATGCCTTTTGCGTGCTAGCGAGACTTACTGGAAATATCTCCTTTTAAATTTCTTCTTCACTGTGGAGACACTCGTTCTCTTATTTGTATGCTACCTGTACATATCCATTTATGGTAATTCACATAAGTTCAGCTGTAATGGCTGTGGGAAAATGAAACTCCTTTAGAGAGAACACACACACACGTGCATCCTCATCAGTTATGCTAATAACTCACTCAAAAACTTAAGCCCACCTCAGAGTAAACCAGGTCCAAAGTAACGAAATAGAACTAGATTGGGACATTATTATGCTTGTCAACAAACTTTCACTGAATGCCTACTATATGTCAGATAATTGTTGATACCACTCTAGTGCCTTCTGGACCACTAGGAGACATTATATAGACATAAAAGATAAATACCAGTGTTCGCAGCCGCCGCCGCGCCGCTGTCGCTCTCCAACGCCAGCGCCGCCTCTCGCTCGCCAAGCTCCAGCCGAAGGAGAAGGAGGGTAAGTAAGGAGGTCTCTATACCATGGCTCGTACAAAGCAGACTGCCCGCAAATCTACCGGTGGTAAAGCACCCAGGAAGCAACTGGCTACAAAAGCCGCTCGCAAGAGTGCGCCCTCTACTGGAGGGGTGAAGAAACCTCATCGTTACAGGCCTGGTACTGTGGCACTCCGTGAAATTAGACATTATCAGAAGTCCACTGAACTTCTGATTCGCAACTTCCCTTCCAGCGTCTGGTGCGAGAAATTGCTCAGGACTTTAAAACAGATCTGCGCTTCCAGAGCGCAGCTATCGGTGCTTTGCAGGAGGCAAGTGAGGCCTATCTGGTTGGCCTTTTTGAAGACACCAACCTTTATGCTATCCATGCCAAACGTGTAACAATTATGCCAAAAGACATCCAGCTAGCACGCCGCACACGTGGAGAGCGTGCTTAAGAATCCACTATGATGGGAAACATTTCATTCTCAAAAAAAAAATATATATATATATATATATTCTTCCTGTTACTGGTAGTTCTGAATGTTAGATAATTTTTTTTCCATGGGGTCTAAAGGTACCTAAGTATATGATTGCGAGTGGAAAAATAGGGGACAGAAATCAGGTATTGGCAGTTTTTCCATTTTCATTTGTGTGTGAATTTTTAATATAAATGCAGAGACGTAAAGCATTAATGAAAGTTAAAATGTTTCAGAGAACAAGTTTCAGCAGTTCAACTTTATAATAATTATAAATAAACCTGTTAAATTTTTCTGGACAATGCCAGCATTAGGATTTTTTTAAAACAAGTAAATTTCTTA